ATGGAAAGTGTTTAAGTGTCTATATAATCCAAATCTAACATACTAATATTTAAGATGTTTTATGATACAATCAAATTGTCGAATTGGTTGGTATCAATTAATCATTATAATGGAATGAAAATTGATCATTTTAGCAGTGAAATAATACGTGATAAATACAAGACATATACAAATTTATTCAGTACGCGAGAACAAGTGTTCTTTTAACATTATACATCTTCACACACACTTATGATCATTTACGAAGTACAAATAAGCAAAAACGGCTAACTCATTTGAAATATTATTGCTCATATTAAATTTTGGCGTATTTAAGCCGGGGCTCTCGAGGTATGTTCAACAAATGGGAGTACAGCTTCCTTATTATTACGTTAAAAAAAAAAAAAAACTAAACATTTTCTTTTCTTTCATTTAAATTTTATTTATGTTGAAAATAATTTGATTTGAAACACGAAATAATTAAATGTACGGCTACGGCGTATATCATCTTGCATACTTATGTCACTAGTTTTTTTTAAACGGTTCGTTATAAAAATAAACTATTATATAACATATGCGGCAATTGCAGCGCTGCCATTTTAAGGTAACTGCAGTCGGCAACAACGTAAGATTTAGTTATATTAGTAAAAGTGTCGTGTTTTGTCATTTGATAACATATAAACGTGTACATTTAAGTGAAAGTTTTAAAAGAAAATTAAGAATATAATACATTAGAAAAGAGATTTTATTCCCACAAATAAGCGTTTTTGTAATAGAGATGCTCCTGAAAATAATTTAATTTTAAGTACAACGTCTGTGAATCTACGCATACGAAATAACTGATATTGTAAGTAGATTAATTTCTCTAGTCTATAATAATTCAAGTAAAATAAATGAAGTATGTACTAAAATTTAAAAAACTATGTGCCATTTTACATTTTACCATTTAGGCGTATATGATTTCTATATTAAATATACTTTAATTATATTTTATTTTAACTTGATGTTTTTGTTATTCTAAAACAAACGCGTACACATGTTTACATAAGTTGGTTTCCGCAGATATAAACGAGAGCGTCCAACTAAATAAGAAGTTTCAACCCGTCATTGGTATATATATCTTGAGCACGTCACTCACATAGATAATATTTTTAGCGTCAGTCGTCGTTGATAAGCTCGCTCAAAAGAAAGCTTTAAAAGTTAATTCTTAAGTATACACTAAACATCATAATATTACAGTGTAATTGCTTTTATAAACGTATAAGTAGTAAAATAATATGTTTATTCATTATACTCGTATAATAATTATAGTTATTATTATTATTATCAGTTTGAATCACTAGGTATTTAGCAAAATTTTTATAACAATTCAAATTCTGTATTAAAGAGGGGTTTATTCTTTTAAAGGCTATATAGGGCCACTAAGATTCACGCTACGCCACTGCTATTAACATTAATGTATATTTTAATGGACGATTGTTGTTACGACTTGTTAAATATGTATACAGTTACTATGAAATGAGAGTTTTTATTTTCACTGTATCACTAATACTTTTTCTATAGGAAACATTCAGTTTTTTTAAATAATACTTAATTAGTAATCAGGAACCACATATATAATAAAATAAATATCAATCATATAAAGTAATTATTCACATTAATAATTATAAAAATTTCAACATTTTACATTAAAAATTTATATTTATGAATTTTTTTTTCATTTTCATTTTTGTTTACGTTAATGTTTCTAAAACCAATATTTAAATATATAATTTTGTATTTTATTTTAACATTATAAAGAAATTAATAAAAATAAAAATTTATTCAAATAGAAATATATATATTATCAGAAATAACGTTTATTAAGTATTTAGAATCTAAATAATATTTCTATAGTAATTAAATTAAATAAAAGTTAAGAAAATACAATAAAATGGCTTCAAAGAAACTTTTCAACACTCAAAGTCTTATGGTTAATATAAATATTTATAATATAAATGTATATAATATATTTTTAGCTTATGTTAGTTAAATATTGAGTTAGATTCTTATAGGTTCATTTTATCATGTTAAATTTAATTATATTTTAACATAACATTTTTTAAACTAAATGCTCAAGTATTTTTGGGATGGTAAAATATATTTTGTTGTATAATGATATTGTGATATATTTATATATTTTTATCATCAATACTACGATAAACTAATCAAGTAAAGTAAAAATATAAAGGTTTTTGTGAAGGTGGTGTGATAAATTCTTACGGCAAGATTATTAGTTTTCAAAGCCAATTCAAGTAAGAATTGTAGGTTTTACAGATTATTGGAATTGACTTTAGTTCCCCTATATGTGTCATTTTGTTTCTATAGCTATGTTATCTAATATCCATTGATTATTTTATTTTACTTAAAAACATACCTATATTACTATTTAAACGACACTCGTCGATTTATTTTCAATATTTTTTTACAATAGTCAGATATAACCCACCTAAACATACTGCGTAGTTATTTATAAAATTGTTATGGAATATTTAAATAGTTCTAAAAAATTTAAATCGAATTATTCTCTTATACATTAGTGTACATATCTGTGTATATATATTTCATAAGAATAAATTAAAAATTAATAAAAATTAATATTAAGAACACGATTAATTTAGTGTGTATATTATTTAAGTAATATAATATTTGTTTTTTTTTTAAATTAAAGGATGATTTTAAAATAATTGAAATTTTGTATCCAATTTATATATATTTATACAAAACATTAAAAAAAAAAACTTTAAAGTATTTAAACATGTTGCATGTAAAATTATTGTCTTGGTTTTATATTTATGTGTTCTTTTTTTTTTATTTAAACTTTATATTATATTATCACTAATAACGTTTATAAAAGTTTGAACATTTTTATAAAAGTGGCTAATTAGGTATATATAAAATAACGATTTTTTTTTTCTTCAAATAATTTAAGTTATTTATTGAAATTAATTAAAAACATTAAGCATAATAACTGGAAAAAAGTTATTAATTATTTATTTATTTAATTACTTTCTATAGAAAACAACATTTTCAAAATATTTGTACTGATTTTACGCTATTTATTAGCATATGATATTCTAATTTGTTTAATTTATTCAGCTTAACACTTTTATTTCTTAATTTATTGCTAAACAATATAATAAAATGTTTCTTATAAGTAATTTTATCATAGAGTAGTTATAAAATAAAGTCGTTATAGCTTTTGTGAGCATGAAGTTCAAATTTTGACAAATATAATTAGATGAAAAATAAGGTATTTTTGTTATTTTGTCGTTTGAATAATTTACTTAGAATGTAAATGAAATTATAAAATATTTATTTTTTTTTTTTTTGTTAAATTTTAAAACTTTTTGATTAATCAAAAATAATTAAAATTAATAAAACATTTAAAATTCATATAAAAACTCAAAAGAGCCAAAATATTAAAAAATTAATATGATATTAATATGATATGGTGTAAGATTATTGTTAATTTAAATATTCATTGAAAATTTTAAATATCTATAGTTAATAAAAAAACCAAATAAATTTCAGTTTTTACACGATTTTTTTTTTTATTAGTTTTTCTAATTATCATGAAAAATACTTTGGATTTTTTTCTTTTGATCTTTTCTCCTATAAAATATAAATTTCTTCTCTAGAAACAACCTTTAAAGTTGAAAGTTGAAATATTTTAACTACTCCAAAAAGGCGATAAGGGATGATGGGCAAAATAAAAGTAAAATAGTTATAAATAAAACATTTGAAAATCAAAAATAAACAAGTTGAAAAAAAAATCGCAATCAAAAGAGTTGACGATTAATTAAAAATAAATAGATACCAAGTGATTTTGTTAATCCATTACGACATAAGCTAAAAAAAATAAAATTAATACTTTGTAGCCATTTGTTTTAGTTATATCATTTGGAATTTAATTTAATAAATATAATAATAATAATTATAGTATACAAATTAATAAATGGAGAAAATAAAAAATAAAACACTATCAAATCTGACGTACATTAAACGCTATCGTAATTGTATATCAAACCATTAAAACCATTGGACCAGAAATCAAACTCACTAGTATTACTACCCTCTGCACTACTACAATTTATATTTAATCCTTCTTGACTACCTAATCAGTTGAAAATCCATACTGAAATTTGGTCGCTCTAACAATGTTAATTATAACAACTGTAGACATCAACCAATAGCAAAGTAAAAATTCATTATTCGTTTGTATTTGAATTGAGATGCAGATATTTTAGTTTAAAAATTGTTTACAAACTATGAAGCATATTTTAAATATTTTTGATTAATAGTATTTAAGAGCAAATGTAAGTACTTAAACCAACGTGTTTAAATACAAATACCTAACTAAATAATTTCACTTTATAATCAATTTTGTTTTCTCTATGAAAAGTTTCAATCAAAAAAAAGTTTGCTCTGTTAACTCAAATATTAATATCATATTGATTTTGTTAAGATCATCAATATAATTTTTTGATATTATTTAATAATAAAATGATACTTCAAATACCCAAGAAGCACTTTTATTTTAAAATTATTCGAAAAGTATAATTTATACTTACACAGCAATAGTTTCCTAGATAGTAAGCAAGTGACCGACGCGTGACAGTTATGCGAAACAATACGTACAATGCGCGACGTTTGTCGTTAAGTCGGTCGATATTAACAGTACGCCGAGAGTACAAAACACACTTGACAGGAGAATAAGATATCCATGTAAAAAAATCTCAATCGTTACTCGTTAGAAAAAAAGGTCTCTCAAAACGTTTTCTAGTTTCATTTTTATAAGTAGATATATAGATAAATATATGTGTTCGTGTTCTGTATATAGTGCGACTAATACATTGTACATGTTCTACCCAAATCAGTGACAAATTTATTCAATACTTTCAAATAAATTATAAACGAGATATGTGTCTGGTTTTTTTTTTTCTTGTTTTGTTTTTTAATATAAATAATTGTATACATACCATCGTAAGCTTTACATGTGATTTCCAATGTTCCGTTTTCCATGACAGGTGGCAATGTGGAATTCTGAGCGACGTTATTCTGACTGTCTAAAATTTCCAGTCTGCTTGGCGGTACTATAATAATAATGGATATATGTTTAAAAAAATATTATTAAATAACCTTTTATATTTACTATATACCTACCATAAATCGTATTAGTTTATTTTAATTTTTAATTTTTTTTTTTTTTTTTTTAATGCTATTATTGTAGTAAAATAAAATAATATTATACATAATACAATATTATGTCTTGGCTATTGACATTTTTTGACAATTTATATGGTTATTTATTTAACCGCTTAAATAATCCCAAATAATGTAAAATAACAATAACCTTCTGTTATTAAAGTTCGTGTGATTTTTATTCATATTATCTATAACGAATAAAATGTAAAACAAAAATTACTCTATACATAATGTATAATTATATATAATATTAATTAATTTAGCGCTCGAATGTTATTCATGTTATTTACTTATTGGTTATTCACCCTTATAAATCAATAATATTTATTTATTTTTTTATTTTTTTAAATTTAGTTAGAAATGTGTTTGGTACACACGTATATTGTTTTAGGCGACAACATAAATAAAATATGTCAACACTTTCTATAATATTTCTAAACGTTTTTAGTTTTGAAAATAAGAGTGCATATTTATAACTTTATCTTTTTTAAGTGCAAATTTAAGACCTTTTTTTTCACAATTAAGAGGACTTCCATACACCCATAAATTGTTGTTAAAAACTGTTTCGCATGAAAAAGAACCACTCAGGGAACAGTCATACATGATAAAAAGGCAACATTTTCTGTACCATAGGGCTTTTATTTTTTTTAATATCATTAATACAAACAAAGTGATTATTTTTTTAAAATAAGTTGTTTTTGAGTTTTTTTTTTAACTTAAACAATTGTATTAGTATTTAACGTCATGGCATGGAAAAATATTTTTTTCTATAGTACATGAATTTAATTTTTTACTAGAGTTTGAGTGGTTATTTTTCACGCAAAATTGTTTACGATAATTTAACGTCATATGTCGTTATTACACAACAATCAACAATGGTACTCACTTAAATATTATTGCAATTTTATAAGGGAGTTACCCGTTTCTACTAAAAGTGTATCTTTCCCTTTTCAACCGATTCATTTTTTCAACAAATAAAATGATAGGCTGCGTCGTAAAATTAATGGTATTGGTTTCTTTTGTACAGTTCAACTGATACAATAAAAAAGATTAGCAACATAATTGATAGCGTTGGAAAAACAGTCATTTAATCAGCGATAAATTTATTATTGGTTGGACCTACATTGGTTGGAAAATAGGTACTCAATAGATGTTTTACAACGGAAAAATAATTTAAATTAAACGAATTTCGTGAAACTTTTTTCATTTGGTGGGAAAAGTAAATGTGCACTTTTGGCGGAAACCAGTTATGCACTTTTATGAACAATAATTTAATTATTAATCAATTTTATGTATGTTTTCAATTAATTATTAAATTAGGTAAGTATATTAACTCATTTATCAGTTTTGAGTTTTTACTTTTTTAAATGCTTACATATTTTTTTAGAGTGTATTAAAAAGTAGTAAATTATTTTATGTATTTTTATTAGAGGTCTTTATTTCACGTGGAAATTATTATTTCAAACGTAGAAGTTCACAGGTATACGTGTAGTTAAATTTACCAGTACAATTATTAATTCACGTATGCAATTACATGAATCTGTACATTTATTTCATGTGAATATATTTTAATATACGCGATTATTATTATTTATTACAGATGGAATTTTATTTTCAATGCATTTAGTATATATTCCAATGGTTTCTAGTCTCTACGCAGTAATGATCGATAATCAAATATTTATTTTGAACCTGAAGCATTTGCTTTACCCGTCTGATATTTTTATGGTAATACTATTAACGAAAAATTTATTTTTAGAATAGTAGTTATAGATATTTTTAATTTTTAGTTTTTACTGCAGTTATTAAAACATAAATATCTTTTTTAAACATTATATTAACATTTAATATGTTTCATAAATATTATGTTTTAAACATATGTGAAATAAATATCATTAAAAAGCTAGGTAATGTGTAAATATGCTTTAATAAAATAGTGTGCAAAAAAAAAAAACAACAAAAAACAAACTAGTTCTTAACTTTACTCGATCAATAAATATAATTATTTTAACAAATAAAAATAATAGTAAAAAAAATTTCGTTTTGTATTGACCTAAAATTATTTTTAAAAACATTAAAACATTTAGAAAATTAGCGTTCACCTTTAAGAGTTTCGTATTGTATTTGTTTCATATAGTAAGTAGACTTACGCTGCTAAAAACAATCTTAAGTTTTAATAAGCTCAATAAAATTATGTAGATAATTGACTTATTATAAAACTTAAGCCTACAAAAATTATTGTGCTTTCTCATCGTTTTCTTTTAACAATATTTTTAATTTTTAAGCGAGTTAAGAGAATTTATAATTTTTCATATTTTATATGATCATAACTTGCTTAAAAAATTAAGCAATGTTTTTTATATTTAAGTTTGGTAGTATATAGGTCAAGTCAATTCAAAACATAAATTTCCTAGATATATTGTACGTTTGTAAGACAAATACAACACACGTGCGCGTGATATCTTCTTAAAGCTAATAATATAATATTAGATAATAAGTAGGTATATGAAATACTGTTAATGTTTTTTTTCTTATCAATATTGTTTTATCCTAGATTTTTTTAGAACTCTTTCGAACAACAGCTATTAAAATTACAAAAACATTTGTCTAACTTATTGTACTTTAATTTGGGTTTTCCTGAAGTCATAAACAAATTCAAATTATGTGTTATACAACATAATATTATAAACACTTATATCTAGTATTTAATAAATAATAACGGTGGTAAAATCAAAAGAAATGTTTTGATTGTTTGGGTAATGGGAATTATTATATTCATTATTTAGTGATGTGAGCAATCAAAAAAAAAAAAAAAAAATCATGTACCTGTTTTTAATGGAAATTTAGATAAAATACACATTTTTATAATATTATAATACATTAATTTTTCGAGAGTATTACATATTACTCGTATTTAAAAATATATAATACTGAATGCTTAACTTCATCTTTTCGTGTTTGATAATAATATTTGTTTTTAGAATTTTGGTAACATCCATCATTGGGTATGTGTGATAGCTAATATTTGTGCGTGATATATTTATTAAATTAGTTTATTGGATTATGTGATTACTGACATATTGTATTAACGTTTGCATTTATATTATTTTATGTACGCACCGCGATTTGTTCAAGAAAAAAAATAATAATTTTTTAATACTATATACTCGTACACTGTAATTTAATACCACGAAAAAGTTCAAAATTTTCGATCCTTAATGAAAATATCAAGAAAGGTATGATTTTAATTTAGTTTTCATATAATTTCTAAAATGTAAAATACTATAAGAAAATAATAAAGTTAAAAGAGTACAAACATTTTTTATTACATAATATTATATTTAATATGCATAACATATATTATGTTCTCCGGTCAATCGGATAATCCTTATTCCTTCCTCTCTGAAAAAATTATACCTATTATGGTATGTAGCTTTCAGAGATGGTTAATAGATAATCATTTATAACTTATATGTACCAAAGTTACCTAATTTGGTTTCATTAGTAACTTTCAACAATAAATAATAAGCTCACTCGTGATTATGCATCAAAGCTTAACAATTTAAATAAATATGTAGGTACAAAATACAACGAAAACAACGATAATAATATAGAAATGGTAGAACGTAGAAGTAAAAATTTTCGTAAAATTCAATGTATAAACATAGTACGAGAAAGATAATATGAAATAGGTATGAGCACAAAATACATCATGATGGAGTATAGGTTAATTATGTTTAATCTCACTCAGTATTTTAGTCTATTCAAATTATTTATTTAACTGCAGCTACGAGCTGTATATTATGCAATAAATACTTACTGATAATATCGAGTAAAATGAAATTGTTGCGTGTCGGAGAATACTTGAAATCCTCTCGGCACCTGTATTGACCCCCATCAGTTGTACGGATGTCCTCAATTATTAAAACAGCAAATCCTTTGTTTTCTGTGTAATAGATTCTGTCTTCCATAGAATGATCCGACCAATGTTTAATTGTCTTGTGTTCCCGATGATCCACACTGTTATTAAAGTATAAAGTTTATATTATTATTTATTATCAATTCATTAAAAAAAAATATATATTTCGTTAAACCCGAAGGATTCAATCGATGATGAATACTTACATAAATATTATTAATTCAGTAAAAGCTACAATACTTATTGATTTAATATTTAACTTTAAATATTGATCAATTTACGTATATCGTCATTTTTTTTCTACCTTAATTTTTATCTGTATGCACATAAAAACACTAAACTTCTCAAAATTAATCTTAAAATCAGGACGTCAATGACTCTGATATGCAATGGAAAATAACAAGCATATTCCTAACATCTAGCACAGCTATGTCTGTAGTATTCGTATATGATTGACATATATATTATTTATACAACTATTGTTGGTACTATTATTATTATTTTGCTGTGTGCGTCGGTCAACCATATTTATTGTAATTATTATTATTTAAGTTCACGTCGACGTGATAAAATCGGCCGTGAATGTGACATGTATTAAATTATTAAATAAAAAAAGATGCATTAATAAATTAAAAAACGAATGACTTATTTTTAATTTTTCTAAAAATTTTAAAAAGTAGGATTGAACAAATACAGTGTTGGAAAGTGAACAACAAGTGAATCAGATCATTATTTTTTTTTTTTCGTTCTCCATTTTTGTTTATTTTGTACGCGTAAACAAAACTAAGAAAAAGGTTAAAGCAATTGGGCCAAAGCTTATGAAAACAAATGTGAATGCACTAGAGAACGAATGCAATGATCAACTGTCGAATGATTTTCAGTCAGACGATTATGTAGGAAATATACAGATGAATGATGTACGCACGAACGACAACCTGCAGCATGAAGGAACGATATCTACAGTTACAAGTACCACTGATACAAACGCGTTTTAAAACATATTAATAGTTAAAAACAGTATGCTTATGGAATTGTTAAAACTGCAATAAAGTAAAACGTCGAATGAAATAACAATTTCTCTAGATTTTAATGAAATTTACCAGTTTTAAACATGCGCATTTTGTTTCCACGGCGCGATAGTGAATACAGGTAGTTCAATTAATTCGTTAAAAGGTGAATTTGTTCCAAATAACTATTTAATAATTAAACCAGTAAAAAGTTAAAGAATTTTCGGTATTGATGACGCGAAGTTAAATGTAATTGGTATTTTGAAGACCAATTGATAATAATATAATGCATTTTAAATTTCATAATAAATTGGAAAGTATACCAACCAGAACGATGAAAGCGAGTGCTATTTTTGATAAGGACTTTTTGACCCAACCAGGATTTAAAATCGAATTGACTAATAATAAAATAAAACATTATTACTGTTAGTACCTAAGTATGATGGGGAGAGTGTTGACAATTTTAACGAAATTGTATGTATTGATGACGGCCCAGATATGCACGCTATTAAAATAACTGCTTAAATGCAAGTCTTGATTTAGATCGCGAATTAAAAAGTGAAATAATTAGTATGTATGATAAAGAATACAATTGTTGGTGTCAAAATAGATAAATTATAATTCAGGTGACAGCGGTATTGATTTCGAAATTAAAATAATTCTTAAACACTACCGACCTTTTTTTCCACCCTAGGCGACTTTCATTTAGTAAACAAGCGATCGTAAGTAGTATCGTGAAGGTATTATTCAATCGAATAACAGCAGTCTTAACTGTAATTCTATCGTGTTAGTAAAAAAAAAAAAATATCAGAAAAATACAGAGAATATAGAACTGAATAAGATTACCGTCAAAGACAATTTCTCGACACCGTTAATTGGCGATCAATTAGGTAGGTTAAGAAGTGAAAAAAATATTTACGTCGTAAGATTTAAAATAAATGGATTTCATAACGTACCTATGGAATAACAGTCAATACCTTTTACTTCGTTCGTTACTCCCGCAATGGGTCCATTTAAATGTGCAAAAAGGCCATTAGTCATTAGGATTGTCAAACGCGCCAAAATTGTTCAATCGATTTATTCAAAACAAATTTTTAGAATTGATTCATGACGGCGATTTATTTATATATTTGGACGATCTAATAATTGCGACTCATATGTTTTCCGAACATTTTACGATGTTAAAAAAAGTTTTTCAATTAGCCGCGATACATAGGTTACAGTTTCGAATAAATAAATGTTTTTACTGTTTTTTTTTTTCGAAATTGAATATTTGGGTTATTTAGTCAAAAAAATGGAATTCGTACAAAACGCATAGACTTTAAGCTCGCTTATCCAATACCAAAAAACCAGATACAAGTTAAGCAATTTTTAGGCTTAGCCAACTATTTTCGTCGATTTATTCCTGGTTTTTCGATAATAACATAACGTCTACAGTATACGGATTTGTAAAGCATGACGCAGTTTTTTTTTTTTTTTTGAGGATGAACAAAATTTTTTGAAATCATTAAAAGTTGTACTTACAGAATCCCCAGAGTTATCTATTTATTCTACAGCTGCCGATACAGAGCAACAATGCAATGCAAGCTCATCTGGATTCAGCGGCTCGGCACAATATTATTGCAATGCCAATAGAAAAATGGATTATTAAAAGCAGTATTTTATTTAAGTCAACGTAAATCTCCAAATGAAGCTAAATTACACTATTTTGAATTATAAAGTTTAGCCGTTGTAAACGCAGTGAAACGTTTTCACGTTTATTTAACAGAAATACGATACATTTTCGAGTCATAACCGATTCTGACACTTTCCGGTTGACATTAAATAAACGCGATATAAATACACGTGTACTGAGGTGGGCAATATTTCTACAAAATGATGGCTACGAAATAATGCACTGTCTGGGTAAAAGAATGCAATATATGTAGATGTACTCGGCAGGTGTCACGATATGCTCGTCTTAGAGACCAATTCGTTCGAATAAACACTTGTCCTTTGTCAAAATATGGATGAGTAATTGTAAAAATCGGAAATAAATTACAAAATAGTGATCTTAAATTTTTCGAACTAGGTAATTGGTTATTTATACAGAAAAGAAAGGTGTATGCTTTTACATTCCATATTAAATGGAATCGAATGTTATAAAAACGTGTTACGATGACATGGCATATATAAGGTTAAATAAAATTGTTGAAATTATTTCACGAGTATATTGGTTCCTAAATAAAAAAGAAAAATTCCATCATTATATAAGTAATTGTTTAAAATGCATTACATTTTCAGTTTCTAGTCAAAAAAAGGAAGGTTTTTTCCACAAAATTTTAAAAGGGGATCGTCCTTTGTCAACTATACACTATAGACCAATCAGGACCGCCGTTAAAGAAAATGATTAGAAATTTTGTAGTAATTTATAATTTTATGAAATTTTTCAAACTTTTTTCTTGCCGTACTATGAAAACTGAAGAAGTAAAGGAACATTTAATTAATTATTTTCAAATGTATTCTAAACTCAAACAAATAGCAAGCAATCGGGATACTGCTTTTACGTTCACCGTATTCAAACAGTTCTTAGAAAATTAATCGATTATTCTGATACTTGTAGTGGCAAGTACATCTAGAACTAACAGTCAAAGTAGGAATAGTGAACAAATCTGTTAAACCAATGTTAGCCAAGTCGACAGTAACTTAAAATAAATGAAACCAAGTAATTAAAAAAGTCAAGTTTGTAATTAATAATAATCTACATTCAGCGACAGGGCAAAACCCAAGTAAATTGTTGTTCGGAGTTAATTAGGTGGGTAGGGTATTGATGAAATACATAGTGAATTAGAAAACGATATGACTGAGGAATTTAACATTAATGATATTAGAGCTAATACTGTGGCGTAGCGTATGACAAAAAATTAAGTGACAAAAAGTAAAACTTGAAACCTAAAGAGGCAAGCCAATCTTATTATAAAGAAGACTATAACGTCATAATAATTAACGTAGAAGTTGTGGTCAGGTGTAATAAATAGTTCATTTCCAGATTTAGAGAATTATATTATGTGCTTAGAAGTCTTAAATAATGATAGATACGCGTTATATGAACGATATCGAACAGTTTCAAATAACACAACGTCTGTTTAAAAGCATAGTCGGGCCAGATCATATGAAACCAAAACCATGGGTTAAGTTAAGTTCAATGTTTATTATTTTTATATTTAGCGGAGAATTAATACTACTACTATATTGCTATGTGTTATAATTATTTTTTGCTTTCTGATATTTACAAGATATTAAATAATGTATATATAATATTTAATAATAATAATATAATTATTATATAATATATTTAATTAACCGAAAAAATCAATTTCAATAAATAAGTACAATATTTTGATATTATCAATTTTTCTTAAAAAAATAATGGACTTACGACAATTTTTGTAAAATGTTTTCTATAGACAATATTAAAATATATAATTTAGGTTCTCAAATTTTTTCGCTAAGTACGAAATTTTTTGAATTAAATAAAATAATAAGAAAATTACCGTCTTTTGTCATATTCAACCTCGATGCGACACCAGAAGGGGTTGAGTGAGACCTTCCAAATTTCGCTAAAATTACTTATTCATGTTATTGAACAAATTAAAAATGGTACTGTGTTAACTTTTCAAAAAAAAATATTCCTCCTATATAAATACTACTGTAAAATATATATATTGTAATATATTTTTTTTTTGTGTCGGACAGAGTATTTGTCAAAAGTATTCAGTAATTGTTCGAGGCGAACAAAAGTCAGAACTAACCGAATCTGTTAGTACTATAGTACTATTATTATTATTATTTGGTTGTGCGAGTCTGTGGACTACGTGCATTATAATTATATAAGTATTGTTAGTTTACAATGATTACATCGACGCGACATAATCAGCCATGAATATGACATGTGTTTAATTATTAAAAAAAAAAAAGAAAAAAAGAAAAAAAAAGAATAAATGCATTAATGAATGACTTATTTTCATATTTTCTTATAACCCTGTTATAAAGAAAATCAAATACATAACATGCAAGTATAATCTCGAGATAAGTCTGAAGAAATAATGTTTATAGAAGTAACACGCTAAATACGCTTGAATTATTTAGTTTTAACATTTGCGAATTTGTATTTTAAAATATTTTACTCGGATAGATAAATAGTTAACGATAAACTCAATATTTTGAAATTTTAAATATTCTTATAACAATTCTCGTTTAGATAATGAACAATGATAAAGCTCAATATGGTGGTTCTATTTTATACCATAATAATTTTATTACGACATAGCACGCTCAATGTAAGGTGGTTTTTACGTTATTGAGGAAGGTAAATGAAAAAGCAAAACACTTGTAATTTTGAATAAGTTATTTTAAAATACATCTCGGAAGGTGATGAAATATATTTCAACATAGCATACAATTTACTTTACATAGCTATGCTTAGTGAATAATATTAAATTGGAAACTTTGGGTTTTGAATTGATATTAATAGTTTCCGGTTGAATGTCAAGCGGTGTACTTTTTCATTAGACGTTGCACCCGAATATTTAGATGCAGTGTGACTTTGAAATTTATACGAAACACGTTATTGAATCAATGGATAAATATAAATATCTTACAGTTAGTTTCATTATAAGACTAATGCAGAATATATATTTATATAGTCGTGATTAATAAAAACTTGTTGACAGCAACTTATAATATGAAAGAATTCTTCAATTTTTGGTTTAACTTTAAAAAAAAGAAATTTAATCATATTATGGTGTATTAAGTTAAATGAATTTATTTACGACAGTGGTACCAGGCGGTCTATATTGTTTTTTATTAGAATTACATATAAGTAGTTTACATAATTTAAACACGAGTTGTTATATTTCAATAAATGGAAACGTCTAATAAATTATTAACTGATGAATTTTGTGATAGAAAAATATATAAAATATTCGGAACGCTCATAATTACGTATAATTATACGATAATATAATTTGTATGTAAACAATTTTCATTTATACCATCGATTAATAAAAAGACTAGTATCGTTTAATGTTCGAAATTTGACTGGAAAAACGGTTTTAATTATAAAACCAATGGGCTCTAAAATATTGCAATTTTTAACACACACGCAGCTCAGAATCGGTATTTGCGTTTTAACTCATTTTATTGTCATATCATGAACGGGAAGGGGGAGACAGGTATTTTATTTCAAATTTTAACAAAATTTGTAATTTTTCATTAAATTAGATATTTAAATAAAAAATATCGATTTTAATTATTTGTTAAAAAAACGTTATTCGTAATGAGTTGAAATTCATCTTTACGTTTATTTCATAAAATTATATTACAATTATTGATATATAATGCGATTTAAAAAAAAAAAAAATATTGGTTCAACTTACTATATTAATGATAGAAAAATAAATTTAAAAACTCAATATAAATAAATAATATAATTTTCGTATATGTATATACATATACAACGATTTATAATTTAATTCAAATTCAACGCATATATTATCATATTCCCGCGACTCATTCAATTACAATGTATAATTGATACCTAATATTCAGCAAAATAACTTTGCCAGTTGTTTTCCTTTAATTATTCAAATTCTAAGTTTTGTAGATTTTAAGAACACCTGTGTCGATACAAGCTTCTATTTTTTTTTAAATAAAAACTCACCTTTTTAACTATAAATTATTAAACGATGATTTTATTAATTAATGTTTATGTACTTAAATATATTAAAATCAATTAGTATTTCTAAATTATTAAATTTTATGTAGGTACTCTATCGACTATCTTATTTAAAATAATATTTTAAGATGATGGATTTTAAAAAATATGAGTTATTTAATTACTATAGTAACTAAGAATAAGTAATATTATATTACGTATTAGTATTTTATAATTCGTCAGTCAAAATTTTGAAGTATATGGTACGCATTTGATCAAGTATTTCACTTATTTTATATTCGGTGTAATACCAAAATTAAAAATTATTCTCCACATAAATCTCTTGTATATATTTTTGTATAATAATTTTCTACTAGGTATATATTGGATTTGGAATTTAATTAAACTAGTTGAATGCCTTAACTTGTGTAAGGTTAATAATATGTTATCTTCCATGGCAACATATTTTATAACATTATATATTGTATGTTACGGACTGTTATCATCCGTTAACAGTTAGTTAGTTGTCAGTACTCAGTAACGGTTCGTGCCGTGAGGGTCTTTCGAGTATATAACGTTTTAAAGAATATACAAGTGTTAATAACGGATTGATTCTTGTTGTTTATACCTTGTAATGTATCTATTACACTTGGAAGTTTTATCCTCACTAGTTTTATTTATCAGATAATAGATGAGCTTTTTGTTGTTAATAATTGCTTACCTATAGATAGGATAGTCTTGTCCTCTATACCAAATTATTAAAATCGGCGATTCTGTTGAATTCTTGATAGTTTGAACGTTACACGGAAGTTCAGCTTTATCACCCAAGACTGCGTCAACACGTCTAACATTTTCTGTAATAATAAAATAACATGAAATAATGAAAATAAATTTTATAAATATAAATTTATAAGATAAAAATATTATCAAACAGTTTGTTGTATTTACAATTTATTTTTTTTATTTAACACTTTTAAGTTTGATAAAATACACCTTATAATCATAAATATAAACTTGTATGGTTTTATTTAAAAGTTAAATTGTTAAATTTTAATTTTAATTATGTTTAGTGTATTAATAAACCCATGAGCAAAGGTACATCTTCCGTTTGGCAATAAAAATAAGTAAAATACATTATTGAAAAAATAAATAAAAACATTATTTTGGTTATTTTATTGACTCGTGGGAAATGTATAAAATTACTTAAACTAGTGAGTTCATACGTCATGCTGCGAGTGTTTAAAAATTATTTTACAAATTTAAAATCTCTCTACAGAGATTTTCTACAAACGTAATTTGTATGCCAACGATATAGGAACATAAAAACTGTTATGAACTTATGACTAGTGTCTACATAATGGTGCAAACTATAATGAAACTAATGTATTATTTGTGTTTTATACTATTTTATCATTTTTTTTTTTAAATTTTAAATTTTAAATGTTTAACTTATTTTCTGGACATATTGCGTATTTTGTGAATGGTAAAAAATAAGTGAGGGATGTAATTAAACCTGGTAATATTTATTTGATGTATTTTTTTTTTTTTTTTTACTTATAATATTTAATTAACAAGTAAAATGTACTTGATTGTCACCATATTATGATGAGAAAAAATTGAATAGTGTAGTTCATTTAAATACATTTTTTTTTAAATTATTAAACACAATAAATGTATGTGCGCACTAGTCGTTTTTATTTATTTTGTGTAACTAACGTATGTATACTGTATATTGTTAATATGAAATATTATAATAATGATTAATGAGTATTATTACAGAATTTAGCATATGTACTAGGTAGTTTTCAATGTGTCACAGCTAATTGAGTATGAAATATTTAATTTGTATTAATGTTCTACAAAATAAAGCCACTAGGTTAGTTATTTTTATGTAATTAATAATAACTAGTATCTACCTATTGCAACTGAAATAATGTAATGACTAAAAATAAACGTATTTATTTAAACTAAAAAATTACAAAATTTACCAGTTAGAATTTCTTATTTTTAAAATTTGAATGATTCATTAGTTAATATTATAACCATATTATTATTAATGTTATTTTTGCAGGAATATTTAATATGTATTGATAAATATATAATAATAACTAAAAGTGTACTACTATGCTGAAATAGTATAGAGTAGTCTATTAAATTATTATATTAATATGCTTGTTAAATGTTATCATAATAAGAAGGATTATAGAATTTACGTTTATCTATTAAAAACAATGGTTAATACCTATCATTCCAAATATAAATTATTATTATTTATAATTTATTTTATGTACTTATATATTATATGTCGTATACATATAAATATATGTAATTATGTATACAATTTAAATAAAACTTTTTTATGGTAAGTAAATGAAAAAATATGTTAATTAATATAATGGTTAAAAATGAATATAAAATACTCAATTTATTTAATAATAATATAATAAAATTAATTAATTACATAAAACACAATGTAGAATAAAGCCCAAAAAAAAAAAAAAAAATCCATGAACAAACATGAAATTGTAAAATTTGGTAACATGATCATTGAAGAGAAATCCGTGAAATAGTAGAATTCAGGAGTTTCCCAAATCACAATTTAAATGTAAAAATTACATACACATACTGACATACATACATATTTATAAACTGATGGCATACAACTCATTTAAGAAGCATTGAAAATCATCATATTTTCGATCTTGGATAACTTAACACTATCATCAACAGTGAACAACTAAATATTCTTAACTAAAAAATGGACCATTTAAGTACATACCGTAAAATAATTTATATAGATAACTAATACAGTCGAACTTGTTTGACTCAAAGTGGAAATTACTAGACAATAATATATGATAACCAAGAAATTAAAAAAAAAAAACACAAATAGAAATTTAAAATATTATTTAAGTAATTACATAGCACGTGTTTTAATTTAAACATTACAAACAAAAATATAAAAAAAAAGTTATTTAATAAACATGTCTAATTGAAATGTAATAAAACGCTAAAGATAGTAATAGCGTATCATTTTGACTATATTTTGGATAATAAATAAATAAAACATTTATTACTGATTTTAATGAATTAAAACTTTAAATTATTCACAAAATATTTAAGTTAAATATGATTTTTTACATTACTTAAATTTAAGAACCCAAAGTAGGTTCAGCGGAAGAGTTCGAGGTATCAACGATTTTAATTTGATATAAAGCTTAACATTCATATGGGTTTTTAGTTATTGGGATACTCAGAAATTAAAAACAGAATAACAAACGGAGTCTCGTCATTTAAGTTTTCCACAAAATAAACTTAAAATCAGAGATACCTACTGAACATCATTAAAAAACAAACAATGAAAGCATGGCCAATTAAAAGAATAACTTTTTTTATTACCTACTTTTTAAATAAATACAAGAATATAAAAATTAACATAAAAAAATGAAAATATCTTACTGATATTAACAAACGAGACAACGTAATTATCACTTGAATCAAAGTAGGACACACGCATCTATCACACTTCTATCTAATAAACAAATAACCGGCTCCAGTTTAAAACTCATGTAATATAAAATCTTTCAATTAAATTACTTAATTATCAACTAGTCTAAATACTCCGAAGGACGCAACATTTTAAGTTATCTATAATTTCTGCAGTAAGCATTTAACGAAAATACTATCATATCAATAAATATAAATGTTTTTACAAAATATAATCAATCCATGAAAGTATGTAAAAATTGTAGATATTATCATTTGAATTAAGATAATGTAACTCATAATTGACATGCTTACAAACGTAGGTTGAAAACTTACCATTAATGTTAAAGCCTTAGAAAAAGTAAATAATATATCGTACATTGTACATATTTAAAATAGATATAATATGAATAAAAACATATTGAAACTTAATTGACAAAATTTTAGTAACCTTATTTTTGTTTCTGAAAAATATTACGCCTAGTATATCATGTATATTGTACATTTTAAAATGCATGAGCTATTGCCTTTTAAACTTATCAAATAATTGTGTTCATTCGTAACATTTTTAATTAAATAAAAAATAATGATAATAATATCACGGGTAGAAATTTAAGTACCTACCATTTTCTATTTAATGTAATTTAAATATTAAATATCAAACGGTATATAGGTTTATTTAAATCCATAAAAATATGATATACGAGAGAAGAATAGTTTATTTGTTTAGATAAAGCATTGTTAATCTATTTGACTTAATTTATACTTTAGTATCAATAGTATAAAACGATTTTTGTATATTATCTATTATTGTAGTTGTATCAAAGAGTATATTAATATTCTTAAAATCAAATAGATTTACTGTTAATTGTTAATTTGATCATTTTTATTACCTATAATGCTAATTTTATAAAAATTTAATAATATATCTAGTGATATACTAAAAGTTTTATTTAGTTTACGGTTATATACATCATACCTATGTATCTATTTATAGAAATGTTTTCAAATATTTTATTTTATATTTTATATCGTAAAAATTTTGTTATTTAATATATTAATTATTAACCAAAAATTATTTAAAATTATTTTCTGATATATTATCTGAGGCGTAAGTTACAAATTAAATTAAATACTTCTTTTTTTTTGAATACTTATATTTACTATTTTATTGTTATCTTGTTATCATGATTGTATTATCGTGGTAGTTTAAAATGAATTTAAATATTTCGAACATTTTGGATTTTACGATTAATATTTTTTAGATTACAAAAAAATAACTAAATCCGTTAGAAGAAAAATTGAAATAAGAAAATTAACTAATGCCCTTCTATGTTATGTCTCTAACCATATAATTCATTCTGGACTCAAATTGAAAACCATGCACAAAGAAGCTCAACTACATTACAAACGCTTCTACAGTCGTCTAATCTGACCCTAATCCTCTTGTCAAAAATCTCATAGTGCCTACAATTTCCGGTAATCTTCCAAAACGTCTCAAATGTAAATGAAACCGTATTCTGCTTATTGCTTTAAATACCAATTAAAAATTAAATAAATAGTTTTGAATGTACAGTTTTTTTTCTGATATAAATTGTGCGTTATATATATATACATATATTATGTATTGTGTATTTTTTGAATGAATAAATTTTGAATTTTGTCGAATTTGAAATTTAAAAATCTATAAAAAAAATTTGCTTAAGTTAAATAAGTATTTTTGATATTTTAAAAATTGCTGTAACAGCTACTTATATGGATTAAGTTGTAAAAAAAAAAAAAACCCCAAAATGTAAAGTATTAATTAATAGTTTAAAAAAGCTAAAATATTTTAAAAATTATCTTATAGTTAAAAGCTGTTATCATCAATATGTTGTAAAAATTTTAAGTCTATCGGGTTATTAAAAAAAAAAAAAAGGAAATAAATGTTATAAAACAGGAATATGTTTAAATATTTTCATTTTCCTGCTGTTTCTTGTTAGTTTTTTTTATCAAATTATTAAGAGAATAGTGTATAGAATTTTATATGACCTTTAAAACATTAATTAGGTCAAGTTTACTACCAATGACCTTCCTGAATGTTAAGAATTTAAACAAATAATTGTTCCTGTACATTTTGTGATGTCGAATATATTATACACAAAAATAACATTATCGTAACACGAAATAATTTTTCTACTCGGAGTATAAAATAGAAACTATTTAAGAAATATATTTAAAGAACCATTCATTATATATTTAATGGACTTTATTTACTAAGTTCTATGATTAAAATAGCATTTTTATTAATACATATTATGTTATTTTTAAATTTAATGCAAAGAATAAACTTTTTTATGATAATGTATTGCAATTCGAATATCAAATA